CTCCCGGTGTTTGTACACTTCGCTTCATTCCTGTAAAGCGTGTGCAGGTCTGTTTTTGTTCAGAGAGAATATAAAGGCTTTTTTGTTTCTGTGTTTTTACTTTTTTTTTTTTTTTTTTTTAGTTTTTATTTCAGGATCGTCTCTTTGTCACATGCTGAGCTCACCATCTGCCACTGCTGCCGCACCGTCAACGTCCCCAAAAAGACATTGCTGTATTCTTAATTATCTTCGTTTAATCACCTCCCCTCTTCAGGGACACGGAAGGTTATTATAAAACGAAGCCCACGTGGGGGATTTATTAAAACTGCAGTAGAATATTGCACAGCCGTGCACAGAGAGGAGGATGGTACTGTAGGTGTTGTCCTTGTACCATGTGCTGCAGTTAGTTTAGTGCTTCTCAGGCTTTTCTTTCATGAGGTGGTCGGTGAATTCCCTCATTCTGCTCTCAGGCGTCTGCTATGATTACGTCTCTTTTCCAGCTCTTTCCTCCTGGATTCATTGTGAATTGATTGCACTTTGCACTTTGAGTTTCTGTCCTGACACTGTTACAGTGTGTGTGTTGGCGATAAAGGTCAAATCTTCGTTGCGTTTCATTCCTCCTCCTTTCTCACATTAGAGCGGAGATGCGGCAGAAATGTGAGGAGGCGACGTATCCTCAGACGGAGGCTCGTTAGCATTCTTCTGCTGCAGTCCTCGTCTCCCAACACGTAGCAACATCCTCCATTATTGAGCACTTGTAAACGCTTTGAAGTTCTGCTGTTCGGGGAGTTTTTTGTTCCGCGTCGGAGCGGGAGCGCGTGGCTTTGAAAGGCAGAGATCTCAGCAGCTGGCCCAGTAATTGTTGTGTGATATTGATCAACATCCTCTTTGCTGATATTTCTCTTTCTCAAACAGTTTCACTCCGTGTTTATTTTGCTGCACGGTTGAGAAGATTCTGCAAACAGAGCGGATGGGACCGAATGGTGAATAAAGCGGAGCCGTGGCGGTGAGCGCCGTCAGCCTGCTCGGCTCCGTCATTGAAAACCAGGTCAAGGTGACGGGGAATCTAATTGACGCTCGGCTCGACCCCGCCGAGCCCCCTGGGAGTTTTTACAGCTGCACTGCTCGCACTCACTCCTCCACCACATGGTTACACCACAGGCTCACGTCTCATTAGCATTTGACCGCGTGGGCAAAACTGCAGCTTCATGGAATACAATGCATTCTGAGTAATTACATTAATGTGTTGGTGTGAACCCAGATAACGTTAAAACAATTTCACAGCAGCGTCGACCCAAAGTGGTTATTTATTTTAATCAGAATAAATGTTGACGAAAGTTTCACCAACTTTTGTTAAAATCGGTTCGGTCATTTTTGCGTAAAACCTGCCGACAATGGACGGACAGGGGGTGAAAACATAACCTCCATGATGTCTGAATATAAAATAATATATATTTTACACTTTCTTGTATTTTGCGTCGACAGTCGCTGAGCAAAGATGTTAAACATGTTTGTGAATCATTCAGCACAGTGGTTTGAAATCTGACTTTTGTATTATCATTTCTGTCTGGATGCTGCGGCCCCAAATTTTTTTTTAGCATTTAGTCGATGTTTATTCAGAGCAGCTTAGAATAAGCTTTAAATCCTGGATCACCCACATTATGAGCAACAAACGGTAGAAAAACAAAAGTCGAATCTGTATCAGCAGCATTCAAAAGAATCAAATGTTCTCTGAAGGTTTAAAAGGTTCAAAAGGTCAAAACAAATTCCCTCACGTTCAATTTGTGTCTTGTCGTTTTTTTTATTCCCTCTCACAGTGACACCGACCAAGAGGCCTCGTCAAGAGACGTCTGACTGTATGAAGAGACCGAGTGACGGGACCCCGGTCCTCACCTAGACCCCTCCCAAGACCTCCCCTCCCCCTCCACTGCCTGGACATGGTGAGCCTCCTGTTTGTCTGCAGTGTGTTCATGTTGGAAACCTGGTGGAAAGTGAACTTCACCAAACGAGTGGATATGTGGATCCAAATCAAGAGAAAGTTGAGTTTTTAAATTGTGTTTAGTCGTCAGCGCCTCCTGACGTCTCTGTGCCACCTTGTGAAACACAGTTTTACTTTCCTGTGTGAAATATTTACCAAATTACCGACATTTCAGCCGTACGACCCAGAAGTCCCTTTGTCTCCGCAGCTCTAAAAACAGTACGTCCCAGTGGCAGTAAGGCGCAACTGCCGTTTTGAAGCGGTGAAGGAGAAGTGATTTCCAGGAAAATAAAATTGCAGTTTTAAGTGCGTGAAAGTAATATTCTTTAAAGACATAGATTCATGTCTGACCCAGCACTTAAAGCAAAGTCTGAGGCATTTCCTGTTGGTATCGAAACCTAAATTAAATCTTCTCTACGGGAAAAGAAGGACAAACATTTGCTCGTCGGAGAAAACCCAGGAGAACATGCAAACTTGGTGATTTTTCCTTGTGAACTACCAGTGAAGATCAGTGAATCGGATCACACGCCATCCTCCATGTGTATATATAATGATTTGTGTTATTCATAAGATTCTGGTTGGATCAATATTTTTTTTTGGGAAGAGTTTGTGAAGAAAATAATGTTTGTATAATCTCATTTCAGAGTCTCTTTCTAGGCCGTCTCTCTGGCGGCTGATCAGAAGCTTGGTTTTCCCTCATATACACTAAACCAGGCTGGTTCCAATTCATGGAAACTTGTGTGTCGGGCGTCGTCATCCTCCCCCCCGAGTCATTTAACAGAGAAAAGAAAATGTTAGAGGAATTATTTCTGACGTGCGTGTCAGATGGAAGTCGATGGCATCTTCTGACAAACCCTGCAATGCAATTCATTAAAGCAGTGAATGTCATTATCGTCTAATTGCGGTGCGACTCGGAGCTCCCAGCTGTCTTGTGGGTAGCAAATAAAAGGAAAGAGCCTGATGCGGAGCCGGGCCGGGATCCAGAATCGGTGTTGATGCCATGAAAGTCTTAATCTTTCATTTAGATCTTGCTAATGTTTGTGTGTAGCCGGCGTTCGTGTGCTGTGGTTGTTATTGACGCTGCCCACACTTGCCACTACACAGCCTTGAATGCCCCCCGGCAGTTCGGCGAGAGATTAGCCAGGTCGTGATGAATGACCCTCGCAACTCCAGCACAAGCCCCAGAGACCGGTGGCCATGAATTATTAAAGCACCGTCATAAATAACTCACCGTAATGAGGGGTGCTTACACGCTGCAGGCGGGAGAGAGGGAGGAGCGGAGAGGAAAAGAGGGGGGAAGGAGAGTTGAAGAGGAAGGGATGATTGAGAGAGATAGCAGCTTGACCTTGGACTGAGCGAGCGCCGTGGTGCTGGACCGGCGGACTAATGCACTCAGGCTTGTAAAACAGAGCAAAGAGCTAATTTTGCACATCAGTCAATTTTTCCCCCCTCTCTCCTGTCAGTGAGTCGGGCTTCTATCTTGAAGTGCATGTCGTCAATGTTAATGTTGAATAACGGCGGCCGTATTTAGGCCACGCACTCACGCCGGCAGCAGCGCAGGCGGCTTCAGGTGTCGCTGCCATCGTGCAGACACGCAGAGTCTCTGATGCCAGAAACAAGCGTCTGAGGAGGAACGTTGAGTAGAGTCTCTTTTCTGGGCCGTTTCTCTGGCGGCCGCTCAGAAGCTTGGTTTTCCCTCACATACAGTAAACCAGGCTGGTTCCAGATCGTGTTCATCATCAGTTCCGTCATCTCTGAGAAATCCGGCTGACGACAGACGAATGTGATTAAAACATTACCTCGTTGGCGGAGACGATATAAGTAGAGCACGGATCAAATCGAGCAAACAGACAATGCGACATTATTTGTTTCAAGTATTTTAATCAGCCATCATGGAAAAACACCACATCAGTCGACCTCTGCAGGAGGATTTCATTAAAAACGCTGGTTTGTTGATGAGCTCACTGCATCACTTTCATCACTAAACCCTCATCTTTTTAAAATTCTTCTTGTATTTTATGAAAACAAGGTTCTGCACCGACGACAGACTGAGCCGCTCCTGAGCAGGGGAAGTGTCACTTTGTCTCCTGAACACAGGAGCCAGTTTTAATGCAGCAGTGCTTTTTGTGAAATATCTCTCAGTCATGACATGTTTAAAGCTCCGACAGAATTCTTTTGCTCTTTATGTTCAGAGGTTTCTCGTGACGCTGCTACTTTTAGCTTCAAGATGTTTTGTGACTTCAGCCCCTTGACGACAGTTGACGTTGCAAAGAAATCCCTCGTTCGAATACGATCAAACCACACGCAGTCCTGGTGAAGCGGAGAAATGATAAACTTTATTTTATTTACCGTCTGTGACTGTTGAGGAAAACTTTTCGATTTGAAACAAGGTTTTCAGGTCATTTCAGAATCATCAGGATGTGTCCTCTTATTAATCCAGTCCGTGCTCACCGGCTGTTTATCCATCATCAGCGTTCCCACTGGTGACATTTGGACTGATTAGTGATAATGAGGAGACACACGCAGCTTCTCAAAGGTCACGGGTTCTAAAGGCCACAGTTATGATTTCAGCAGAAGTCCATCAGAGGACGTCAGTGTTTCCTCTCTGAATGTCCTCCAGTCTCCACCATGCTGGATACATGAGCATCATCTGTGCCTGAAACTAAAAACCATAATGTCTCTCTCTCTCTCTCTCTCCCCTCTTCTGAACCCAGAGGTCGTTCCGATCGTTCGCAAACGACGACCGCCATGTCATGGCCAAGCACGCCAGCATCTATCCGGCGCCGGAGGAACTGGAGGCCGTGCAGACGCTGGTGTCCACCGTGGAGGGAGCCCTCAAGAAAGTCTCAGATTGGATGGACGGCCTCAACAAGTCCTCAGGGAAGACGTCCACTGAAAACAAGGCAGGAGACGACGCAGTGGAAGATGATGCCGCTGAAACAAAGTATATTACTGTGTGTGTGTGTGTGTGTGTGTGCACGTGCTCTTATTTTAGGTTTGAGTCCTGGTGATTAAACACAATGACCCTGGTCAAACTGTCCTCAGAACAGCCCGAGACAGTCTTTTATAACTGTTCAGTTTTACATCGGGCCTCTGTGGGCATGTTTTCAGTCGGACAAAGTGAATTATGGCTCGTTCATGTTTGTTTCAGTTCTTCAGCCGACGGCTTCCTTCATAACAAAACTGTGTTGTGCTGGTAATCTTCATCGGGAGGAGACGTGTGATGATCGGATGATTAAACAAGCTCAGCTAACGGTCGTGAATTCTCAACATGCAAACGTCCGGAGTACGTTTACCTCTTGTTTGAGAAGAATCAGTCAAAACAAACTGAACATTTGCACCACAGGAAGAGATGCCAGAGGGGCAGTTCACTCTAAATTATATACCTTATACTGTATTACCTTACTTGGATATTATAATCATATATATATATATATAAACTCATCAACGGTCTCTGTAGTTACTGCCCATGTTGGCGTATGTAATGTAAACCAACGAGGGGTCATAAGATGGAAAGGGAGGGTAACATTTTAAATCAAACCATGTAAATTAAATGTCATCATATAATGATGTTGTGTAAATAATACTTGTCCAGAATATCTGCAGCCTCTTGTACTTGTTGGGCAAAACATCTGACCAAACTGTGAATAACAGGAAGTGATGTTCAAACCCAATTACAAAAAAGGTCCACGGAACTTTTATTATTTTATATTTAACACCCGGGTCTCGGTTCACTCAGCTTCTCTGTGACTTTCGATACCTTGGAAAAAAGGTCTTCTTTGAGAAAAATAAAATCAGCAGCCACGTGTTCATCCAGTGAAAAACGTTTCACTGCTGTGAGCACCGCAAATTAAATTCCTCTCACTTCCATTGAAGTGGCCTGAAGACAGATAATCTCAAAACCTACACAAACAAAAACGAAGCGCATGGACAGATCCTGGAGCCGGCCGCTTTCAGCAGATATTAGTTATTCATAGCGTCTGTGTCGGCTGAGGGGAAACTTGTTCAGGTGAAATGTTTGGGTTCATTTAGAAGTAGTGTCTCTAAAACATAGAACATTTTTACTCTAATTCTTCTAAATAACCAGGTAACAGGGATTGTTGACAGTTTGTTGTTATCTAAGCGAGTCAGCTCTTTATCTTTCTCCTCTTTAGGTCAGAGGGTTGACAATCTATTTATAACGTTATTAACTGGTCGGTGGTGGAGGAGAAACTCTTCTCTGGCTGCAGAGTCTATTTGTGTTTAATCACCTGCAAAACATCTTTGAGAGAATCTGACGCCGGGCCGTCATCCGTCTGTTCTCAGGCCGGAGGCTACGTCAGTGCTGTGCGGGGTGACGCGTGTCGGCCTGGTGGCGAAGGGCCTGCTGATTAAAGGGGACATGGACCTGGAACTGGTTCTGATGTGCCGAGAGAAACCCACGAAACTGCTGCTGTACACCGTCAGTGCCAACCTCCCCCTGCAGATCCAGGTACTGATCTCCACACACCTCCAGCACCGATTCTGAATAATCCTGAACCACTTAAAATCAAACAATTTAAAATAAAGAAATTAAGAAATGTTGCACATCGGCACAATACAGTCTCATTTCATCCTCAATGTCATTATAGATTATTGTCTTTTTCAGATAAACACTCTTGTAGCTGAGGTTTGTCTTTAGAAATATTTCAAGATGAAGACTCTTACAGGACGAAATGTTCATTCCACCGGCTTCTTACTGTGGAAATGTAAAATCCCTTGGATCAGGATTCTTGTGCCACTAAACCAACATCTCTGAAGTCACAGTCATTTAAATCAGGAACTGCGTCTTATTAAAAATCTCCCAGCATGGAAGGGTTTTCTTAACTAAGCTCTGTTTGCATAAAATGAGCCGGAGGCAGAATAATAGGCAGAATGTGACCACACAGAAAGAAATACAAAAACATTAGGCACAAAAATACTAACTGAGTAAAATTTAAGTAATGAGCCGTCCCCGGATCACCAAGTTTGAGGAGAGTGACGTGTTTTCTGAACATTAGAGCATCGAAACCTTTTCAAATTAAAATTAAAATCAAGCTGAATACGAGCAGAATACGTTTCCTTTAACATCTCAGCTGTGCAGCTGCACAAACAGCGTCAATGAAATATCTCCGCCCTTCAAATGGTTTCCACCCCTTCTAGCGTCTGCCAGCCGCCCCCCCCCCACCACACACACACACACACACACCTCAGTTGATCACCTGACATTGAGGCTGCATCATCAAGGAAAGAGACCATTTGAAGCTCTCGTTTCTTGGACCAAACCGAGAGAGATTGACAGGCAGCGGGGTGATGGATGAGGTCATTTCTCGCAGTGACGAGATAGAGAGAAGAGAGAGAGAATGCTCTTGAAAACGTGCCACTGAAGGTGCACGGGTCTCCAGGAAAAACAAGATAGTTTGGCGCGCTGGGAATTGGCTGGATACCGACAGGGCTGGATGAAATGTGGAGGAAAAGCTGCATGAAAACATAACTGTGTCCTTGTTTTTCCTCTTTAAGCGCCAAAATATCTTTCTTTTTTTTTTTTTTTGAGTTCTCAAATAAGAGTCAGTTCCATCATCACAACTGAGCCACGTCATGTCTTTATCCAATATGTTGTTATCACTGCTACGAGGAGTTAGAAAATAGAGGTCATTGAATGTAGAAATACATCAGGGGTTTTGGGTCGTAAGCTTTTATTTGACAGGAACGAGTTAAACTTTAAAGGGTTAGAGGAAAATGGATCCATTGTCCATCCGTCTGTCCATCTGTCCTTCCATCCCATTCTTGTGAAGCTCAAGAATCGCATCGTGGTGGTCAAAGATCACTGCGACCTCGCAAAACCCTCGTACTTTGTGAACGCTTAAAATGAAGGACAACAATCCTTTCAAATTTCACACAAAAGTCAATGATGGAGTTCCTCAGGGTTCTGTTCTGGGACCGATATGTTTCACACTTTGGCAATATTATCGGAATGTTTTTTGGGAAATTGAAATGAATCAGAGCAGTGAGGGGCTGAACGTTTACTGATGGAACCGTAGATCAGAGGAAACGTATAAAAACTACAAGTAAAAATGTTTTAACAGCAAATCAGAGTGTTTCTTTAAGCAGTTTTCCCTGCAGGGCTCAGTTAGTGTTTAATAGTTTGCTCTTTTTTTTTTTCTTTGATAATAAGAGTTGATGAATATATGAATTAAATGATAAATATATAAAACTGTGCATTTCATTTCTCTCTCTACATGTTTTACATTCATCAGCTCAGACACAGGTCTGATTTAAATTCATGGTTACAGGTTATTGAAATAAATTTGTGGAAGGTAAACCTGTGCACAGAGAACTGATTTGCTTCGTGTTAATGAACAATTTAATTAGATTTGTACTTCTGCATCTTGTTTTGCTTTTTGTCCAAATGACATAAAGCAGCAGCACCTTGTTGTTTACAAGCAACACAAGTCTGTGTTCGATTTTTAATTAATGGTGCAGCTCTGCCTTTCAGACGATGACGGAGGACAAATACGAGGTGCGGTCGTGTGTCCCCGAGGCAGCTATCCGGGTCTGCAGCGCCAAAAACCCTCAGCTCATGCTGAAGATCACCCTCTCCTCGTTAACCATGAGGGGCGAGCGACACAGCGGCACTGACGAAGGTACTGACTCCTCCTCTCATCCCTTTACCCCCCCCATCGCTCTGTGTGAGAGGAAGCTCTGGTTTTTAATTTGACCTTTATATGACATCCGAGGGCTGAGAGATTGGAAAAAGAGGGAGAAAGAGGGGGAGGGACTTACAGGAATAAATATAAAGGTATAAAAGTGCTGTGAAACCTGAGCTAGAAACACGAGACAAACTGGGGGAAATTGGGGCGGATGATACATCGAGAGGTTGAAAGCTGAGAGGCGAACGAGGGGAAAAAGGAGAAGGGATGATATGGATCTGGGTGAAGAGTGGTGGAGATAGCAGTTAGACGGTGAAGGATGATTTCGACAAGGGACGTGTTGGGTTGGGATCGGTGGAAAAGGAGACGTCTCAGGCGTCCTCTTCTATCTTGAGATTCACCGATTGTGATTTAGAATCAGATTAGTAAGTAAGTTGTTTCTTTTTAAAAACGTAGTTTTTGAAAGGCAACATCATTTTAGGCCAGAAATAGATTTATTGAAGGAAAGGAGGAGGAGGAGGTTGTTCAAGTTGAATAATCCCTCTCACCAACAAGACACTTTATCTCTTGTGAACAGTTCAGTGAATAATGGCCACAAATTGATGAGAAACTTAACTCTGTCAGGCGTCGGTAGGTCAAGAGCTGATGTTTGGCATCAGTGCCGCCAGCGTGTTTGTTTTCTACCTCAAATGGGGATGAAATGGAAAAAAAGAATTGAAGGCGAGTCAGAAGTGAAGAGCTGCCATTACGAAACAGCGAGTCCCATTGTGCTTCCCGCTCCCAGCAGGAAAGATTGAGTCGAGGACAATAGGTAGAAAAATGGATTCTTCTCTCAGACAGAGGAGAGGCAGCTCCACAGTCACAATGAGGAGAAATCCATTTTCCCTCCGGTTCAACATCCTGGCAGCACAAACAAACACAGAGTTACACTCAAACAGGTTTGTTTTACATCGACGAGAGTAAACCTCTGCTGTTCTCACACAAACAAGAGCAGAGCTGACGTCCTGATGAGGCTCTTACGTTTGAAAATTAAAAAGACGAGTGTCAGGATGAAGCTTTAGACTAAAACCTAGAAGTTTCCTCTCAGGACCCTTTTATTAAGGATGTATGTTTTGGGTTAGGGGACATTTTAAACATGTGTTCAAGCTGGTATCTGATTTAATAAATCTCTTATTAGATCTTTCGTTTCTTCGTTTCTTCTCACTCTTTATCACATGTACATTTTCAGTCACTCTGAGAGTCGAAGATTTCAATCATGAGTCAGAGACTCTTCAGTAAACTGAGATTCTCTAAGTGGAGCATTCGTTTTTCATTTAGCTGCAGATTCAGCGCTCCTCGCTTTCCCGCTGCTCCCCGCTCAGCTATTTAAAGGTCCATGTGCCTTCCACTAACATGGAGGAGGTGGGGTTTATGACCTGTGCTGCAGCCAGCCTCCAGGGGCTCGTAGATGACTCCAGGTTGTTGTCGTGTTCCTCTGTCTCTCGCCTCTGCTCACTGACTGTTGGTTTTGTTGCCGTAGCTCCGCAGGTTCGACTCACTGTGGATCCACGCCTCTCTGCGACCCCGCTGCTGACGAGGCGCCCCCCCTCCCCACCCAGCAGCAGGAAACCCTGGGTACAAGGGGCTTCCCCGACAAGCAAATCAAACCAACCCACTCACTCTCTGCCTCAGACATGCTCCTTACCCCCCCCCCCTCACCCTCTCACCCCTCCCTCTGCCGACTGGACTTCTCTCTGGGTCGCCATGAAATTGTGGTCCATGTCTATTAACGAGCACACAGACTAAAAGGACAAAATGACTACATTACCCAGCAGCCCCTCTCCAGATCTGTGTCCCTCTGCTTTAATCACTTGGGCCGGCCCCTCTTGGTCCATCAATTTTTATTGGCTCCGAATGATAGCCCATAATTTCATGTGATAAAAATGGTGTTAATTGAATTTACCTGATGTCCTGGTCACTAATCAAAATTCCCCGAAGCCGACGATGTCGTCCTGTTCTGTTTGTGGTCGTGAGTGACGGCTCCTTCATGTTCTGCCTCTGGAGACACGAGAAGTGAAGAGAATCCATGAAGCTAAGATCTAAAGACCTGGAGGGTTATTTATTATTCATCATATTTTAACTCCGCTCTTTAAGACTTTTATTTCTGTGGAGTCTCGACTTCAGCCTCAGTGTTTAACGGCGGAGCAGCTGTCCAATCACAGCCCCGCGACTCCGGTAAATCTGATTAAATTTATTTTGCGTTTGTGTTTAAATTAAAGAAAATCTCCACTAAATGGAAGCTAATGAGGAAATAGAAACCAAATGTCAAAGCGGGAGATGAGTCAGTTACGAGATGGGATGTGACTGGCAGAAAGAAAATGTCAAGTAAATTAGCACTAAATAAAAATTATAAATAATAATCTGTTAACTTATGTAACAGAGAAATTGACTTTTACATTAATACAAATACTTTGGCTTAAATTATTTAATTGACCGGCAGCATCATTAGACATGTTATGTTATAAACCAGACGGATTTTCAGTCGAACTCTAATTAATAATTTCTCAGTTTTATTTCATTGCAAATTTAATATTTGTCGGTTTTAGAGTGAAAGCAGTTTTATTAAGTCTGATGATAGAAGTAAATGTTGCTAAGCCTCTTGTTCACCCAGCGATTACAGATAAAATGAGCTTTTAATTATATTTGACACGATCGAGCATCATCGCAGTTAAATAAACAATATACTAAATTAAAAGTC